AAGTTCGTTTTCATGAAGAAATTGGAGCTTACATACTATCTACTTGATGAACTTGGAGGGCTTTTATTGAGAGAAAAAATTGTGTTCTTCTAAGCCAGAAGTAACCCCAGCGCTATTATTTCAATTGGTACATTCCCCAAAGCATCCTTTAAAAATGTCTGAATTGGGCCATTGACAATCTCCTCGGATTTCAGCTTTGAAGCCGGTATGCATTGACAAGTAACAACATCTTGCCATGTTTACATTCTCTTTGATGTTGGCAAGCTCAGCAAATTGCCAGATAAAGCCTTTCCCTCGTTGGCCACTGAGAACTCCTCTAGGGCAGGATTAACTGCTTGTGTATCCATTTCATAAATATTTTTATGAATGGATAAATGGATGGGCTAGGGGAGCTATTTTCTTCAATAATAACACTGGGATATGTCCATCGGATCTGAAGATCTATGCAACGGGTTAATTCAATCCCACAAGGTCCTCCGTCATCTAATAACCCTGCCCTTCAAGTCCATTAGAAACATTGATTTTTAACGGACAAAAGAAATCAAACCCTCTGGATGCTTAGCTCAGAGAGGTAAATTGATCCTTTTGACACACGCCAAACAATGGACTCATTATGGGACACACGTCAATGCCAGTTTTCTGTTTTGTTTGTGGCCAAGTCCTCTTGGAGAGATGGGGGGACTGAGTCTGTCCCCGGGGAGGCTGATCTCTGATTGACCACCCGCCTTCTTCCTTGCTGTGTGCCGACAGCCAAGCCCCCACCAAGGCCAGGCCACCTCCTGCGAGCAGCCTGCGAAGCGCCCGCTCTCGATCATTGCAGCGGTGGGCGCTCCAAACAGAGCTGGCACAGTGTCTCACGGCCAACGACACGCCATCGAATGGATCCCAAGTCCGGCCTGGACTTCAGTGTTGGCCGATCCCACCACACCATCCCCTCCGCCCCAGAATGCAATGGTAGCTGGCACAGGGCGTGTTCGGAAGCTGTACCATGGACACTTGCTAGATGAGGAGTGAAGAGAGGTGCTCTTAAGCCAGAACAGAGAGATGGAAAATCAGAGACGAAAGTGGAAACGGGCTGGGGGCTGGTCAAACCGTGAGCCTCTGGACGCTGACGGGCTGCCCTTGGCACGTCACAGCCATCTCGGTGTGAGCTGTTCCTTGGAGGCTGTTGCCCCCGCTCTGGGTGTGTAACTGTCAGCGCAGCTCCCTCCCTGGCACATGCAGTGGGAGGCAGGAGGCGGGGGCTTCCAGGAAGGACGGTGTAGAACCTCAGAGAAGACCACTTACGGCCTGCTGTCCTGTCTGTATTGATCCGTAAGTCAGTGACTGAGGCAAATGCAGCTCTAGCTCTGCCCTATTGATCTCTGCAGCAGAGGCTGTTCCTCTAGGTTCACCGAGCGGTCACCTGGAGATGCCAGGGGTTACCTGGGGATCTCAGGCAGTCTGGGTTTTTAACGTCTGCCTGTGGAGACAATTGATTGGATCAGGCCTTTCTATTTCCCAGCCACTTCGCATATTTTGGAAAACTGGGAACAAAGGGAGTGTCTAAAGGGCTCTC